TAGGGTTTAGGGTTTAGGGTTAGGGCTTATAGGGTTTAGGGTTTGGGGTTTGGGGTTAGGGCTTATAGGGTTTAGGGTTTAGGGTTAGGGCTAATAGGGTTTAGGGTTTGGGGTTTGGGGTTAGGACTTATAGGGTTTAGGGTTTAGGGTTAGGGTTTATAGGGTTTAGGGTTTGGGGTTTAGGGTTAGGACTTATAGAGTTTAGGGTTTAGGGTTTAGGGTTTAGGGTTTAGGGTTAGGGTTTATAGGGTTTAGGGTTTAGGGGTTTAGGGTTCGGGTTTAGGGTTAGGGCTTATTAGGGTTTAGGGTTTAGGGTTTGGGGTTAGGGTTTATAGGGTTCAAGGGTTTAGGGTTTATAGGTTTTTTTTGGGGGTTTATATAGGGTCTATAGGGTTTAGAGGGTTTAGAGGCTAAGGCTTTAGGGTTAGGTTTTCAGGGTTGGGGTTTGGTTTTAAATTATAAGGGTTCGGGTTTAAAAGTGTAGGGTGGGCCTGTCAGGGTTTGATGTTGTCGTTGTTCTCTATTTGAAACAGTGGAATTCGAAGGGGAATGGGGTTTGGGGTCTGGGGTTTATAAGGGCCTAGGTTCTAAGTGCTTCTAAACCCTCAGCCCTAGGAAGCCTTGAATCCGCAACCCTGAACCCTAAACCCAAATGGGGGTTTCCGAAAATAGGGGACCCCATTATAGTACCCGAAATAGTAGGACCCTCATTATAAGGCCCCCCAATAAGGCACCCCTTCTTTTCGGAAACTCCCAAATTGCTACGCTCAAGCATATCAAGATGTCCGTCTACAGTTGGAGGCAGTCGCAGGTGCATTGGTCAATTTCGGGAAGAACAGGGGACTCAGCAACAGAGTGCTAATGCCAATTACACTCCGGAGCAGCTGGAGAGCAACAGGGACAACAAGTCCCACATTGCGCAATGGCTGTTGAGGGAGCCGTCCCTGAATTGGGACATGGCGCGGAAGCAATTGAAGGACTATGTTGCTCAGCAAAAGGCTTCTAAAGCTGTGGCTAGGCCACTTGAGCCTTCTAGGAGTCAGAGGCGAGCAGCTACGGTTTAGAGGTTTAGGGTTTAGGGTACGGTATAGGAGAACATCAGAAGGCACTTGTGCTGGAGGGTTGCGTCATACGAATTTTTCCGATTTCTTGGAATGGTCTAGTCAAGTTGGTCTTGTACTAAACTCACATCCCAGGGTGCCTTACTTTTATAATTGCTTTTACAATAGCCTACCCCCAGAACCATATTTCTATTTTTTGAGGCCGTTCCTAGACCCCAACTACCTTCCTTTATACCCTAAATACCCACTACCAAGGACCACAAGGGCTTTATTAAAGGGCACGTGGGGGCGGGGGGAGGGGGGTGTGTGCGGCTTAAACAGGGTCTACTTGGCAGCTAGCATTCGTATATTAGAGAGAGAAAATGACTCTAAATCCCGAATATATACACAAGAGCCTGCTGCCAAATAAACCCTATTGCAGGTTTGCGGGGTGTTCCAAGTGACAAGTAAATAACTTAAATATTTTGAATAGTTCAAATATGGGGGAGAGGTCCGGATTTAAAATATTGAAATTATTCAATTTTTTCAATATTCTTAATAGCTTAAATCCCGGTGAGGTGGGTCCGGGACCCCCGGGGTCCCCCGGACCCTCCCGGACCCACCTCGCCGGGATTAAAAATGTTGAACATATTTAGAAAATGTAAAATATGTAAAATATTAAAACTAGTTGTTTTAAATATTTTAAATCCCAAGGAGTCCCGGACCCCACTCATCGGGATTTAAAATCTTAAAAAAGTTTGAAATCTTTAAAATATTTAATTCCTTCCGGACCCACCTCGCCGGGATTTAAAATATTTAGAATATTTAGAATATTTAGAATATTTAGAATATTTACAATATTTAGAATATTTAGAATATTTAGAATATTTTAATATTCTAGATATTTTACATATTTTTAATATTTTAAATCCCAGCGAGGTGGGTCCGGGACCCCCGGGGTCCGCCGGACCCTCCCGGACCCACCTCGCCGGGATTTAAAATATTAAAGAGATTAGAAATATTTAAGAGACATATAAAAATATATAAAATATTGGGAAAGGAATCGCATGGATGCATGCCAAGTGTGAGTGCCTTCTCAATGGCAGGACTGTTCCGTCCGACTCACCAGAAGTCCGCATGTTCTTGAAATTTCTCCGCGACTTTCATGCAGAGGGTTAGAGCGTCCATAGAACGGAATGGGCCATTTACGCGGATGCAGAGGATTTGGCTGGATCGATTGACGCCGTGGCACAGCGTGGCACTGACTTCTGTAACATTGATTGGAAAAGAACCAAGCAACTCGCCTCGAAAGACAACAGTTTTGGGCGTCGTCTTCGATATCCGCGATGAAGTTCCTGACTCAGTTCTCTGGCACTATCGTACCCAGTTGAACGTCTACATCGTTATTACGATGTCACGGCCACAGATCTACGCATTGTTTGTCTCCATCCTGACAACGAGTTTTCACCTCCGGTGACTTCTGTCCCACTTATGCAAGATTACATGCACAAGTTCATGTCCTGGCGCAGACATGACTTACAATCTTGCATGCTTTTGTCAAATGTTGCAAGCGATGATATGCGGGCAGGAAGTCAAGAAGAACCGTCGTTCTCTCAGATGCTCGAGGAGGAGGCAGACCTGATGGACGCAGACTTAGCGATGACGGCTGCTGCAGAGCCGTCACAGCCCAAGCGACAGCGAACAGAACATGCAGGCGAGGCGGACGCGCTTGACGACACCATGACCCAGTTCATGAGTACAGACGTCGATCCGGCATTACTTCCACAGGAAGACTCCACGGTCGCAGAGGGCAGCATCCTGGAACAAGTGCAAGAAACCCGTGATGTGATTCGGGAGTTTGCACATGTCGAGACATGGTCCGAGCAGTTCCGTCACATCATGGAAGGTGCGCTGGCTGTGCATCGCCTACGGCTGCTGGACCTGAGCAGACGCGAGGAGGTCTTGTTTGTAGAGCTCATCGAAGGGCGAGGACTCCATGTGCGAGCACACGATAGCCAACGTTTCTTCTACTCGGAGCATGGCCGCTGGTCAGCCTACAATGGTGTTATTCCTCAAAGGACATTGGCACGCTGCAAAGCCTTTCTCATCCAGTTGGAAAGGCTGTGCTCCATGTTTGGCAATAATGTTCTTCGCGAGAACCAAGGCATCTTGATGCAGCACAAGAACTACTACAACAGCACGGAGGACGATTGGATGTGCTCCTTGCGGCTTGTGAGAAAGCTGCCATATGTCGCGCGCCCGTGACCACGACCAAAAGCAAGCAGCCGGCAAGGACGAAGAAGAAATTATCCGGGAAGGTGTTGGTGGCACGCATTGGACTGCTGTAATGGCGAACACCATCGACAAACTATACGTGAAATTGTATTTTTGCCTGCTTAAGATAGGCATGTCTGTGGGTTGCTTTCGATCGCTGTTGCAAATACTACTCAGCCGAGGCAAACATCTCTGTTGAACGACAGTCTCATCAAATACTACGTCGAGTGGTGTTCGATAGATGCATGTCAGCAGGGTGGCTTCTGCACCATGGACGGCTGTTTCGTTTTCGAGCCTAGCGGCCGCATGGCGGCGGTTCCAAAGTCTCCCCGAACCAATGTGTATGTGCACTTGCCACGCCGCATGCTGGACGCGTTGTCGGATGACGTGAAGGACCGGGTCCACATGTTCTGGCAAACCACTTACTGGGGGAATGCACCTGCGTTTGATGTTTGTATGGCGTCCCTCACTTTGGCACTTCGTGGGAGAACGTGGATCGCGCCTTTTGGGGCGTGGGCTCAGGCGGAGAGGGTCAGAGCTTACAGACTGCTCATCTGGAAGGCATTCTCGGCACCTATCAGAGCTATCACTCCTGCCTCGACATGAACATTTATTTCATGGACGAGGCACGGATGCACTGTCTAACCATGCTACAGCATAGATTCATTTTTTTTAGGTCGTCGCGAGTCTTGTCACGTGTTTTTCATAGGCTTGTGACAGGAGATGCGCAAGCAGGCAGCCCACCTAGTCGGCAATTGTTGTGACCGGCCAGGATAGTGTTCAGGGGTCGAGACGACCAATGCGAGAGGACATCAAAAAGAAGCACATCTCGGCCGACAAAGTGCCTGAACGCGTGCCCTACGCCATTCGGACGGCCTTGGTGGAGCTTCGCGGTTGGCAGCGCTTCGACTTGAATGCCTACCCCAAGCGTCTCGTCTCAGTTTTTGTTGCGCGATGTCTGTCTCAAGGGTGTGCATGTGTCAATAAGGTTCGCTGGAGTGACAGAAGAAAACATCAACTCCATCATGCGCCGTACAGCAATCTGTCGTAACAAGGCTACGTTTGTGGATGAAGCCAGGATCAACGGCAAAGAAGCCCAGGCTGCTGCCGATGGCATCTTTCCGAGGGATCCCACTCTGAAGGATTTCCTACGCTAAACTCTAAACCCTAACCCTGACACCCGAACTCCTAAGCCCTGAAGCTTGAACTCCTAAGCCCTGGATCGTGAGATTTAACCCCGCAGCTGCTTACTACCTATAGTCCCCATTGTGGTACCTTTTTGTGTTTAACAAATTATATGTGTAGGATCCTAAAAGTGAACTCCAGAAAGGAACTACAATGGAGGCTGTAGGTAGACCCTAAACTTCCCAGAACTCCTGGTTGAGGCTAAAGGGCTGACCATGAGTAACATAGGGGCCTGAATAATTACCTATGAAGTTTTGAAGTTCCTTACTATACTTGTAATATAGTATACCCCAAAACCCTCTTCTAATTATTAAGGCCCCTAGATTAAGGGTTGAGGGTTTAGGACGTCAGTTCGTCAAAGTCCTTGCCAGGATGCGAAGAAGCAGCTGGAAGAAGCAGGTGCCGTCGTGGAAGTCGTGTGAGCTACGGCCATGGAGCTGGGCGTTTAGGCTCCATGTCTCGTGGCTTGCGGGTCCTGGCTAAAGCTAGGATGACTCGGCTGGAAAAGTCGAGGGAGAAGGGCTTAAGAAGTTGATGCTTTCTGTAGCAAGCCCGTGTTTCTGGAGGTTCGGGCATCAATGTTTGTGGGCATTTTAGGGTCGCAGTTAAATCAGATCAACAACATGTACGGGTACGAATTATCATAGTGAGTGCGCCATGCGCGCACAGTTTTCACCACCAGCTGTCCTGTCCAGCTCTTGCGATGATGACCGACACGGATATGGACGCTCTGCCTGCCTTGCAGGCATCAGGCAACGCCCGCTGCAGAATTTTCTGCAGACCGTCCTTCAAAATTGCCTGCTGTGCCAGCTTAATTGCATGACCTCAATACACCCTCAATCTCCGAAGCCGTTTTGCAGTTGTTGGAGCATTCGGTGTACCATGTTGACCGTGCTGTAGCATGCTGTTCTTGGGTCATGCAACAAGTGCTCTAGGACTCTAGGACTCTCCCTCTCTCTCTCTGACTCCCTCTCTGTACCTTCGTGGATCGTAGTAGCTGTTTTAGGCGTTTCTTCTGCAATCCCACCGAGCTGCTCTTGGATTGAATGCATGGGCTTTTGCCGGCTCAGAGCTGCATGCCCTGCAGCGGCGAGCATGTCATCGGGGTTGTTTAGGCCATTATTCGGATAGGCTTTAGGGGTTTTGGGTTTTGGATTAAAGTGTTTAGGGTTTAAAGGTAGGTTTCAGGGGTTTAGGTCCGACAATTCTGGCAAGAAGAGTGTGGATTACCGCGGATGGGAGCAAGATTCAATCGTGCTGTCCAGGTCTCGGATACTGCTAAGGCCAAGATTCGGAGTCGGCATTTCCAGTACACAGAGAAAGTTGAATGCGAGAGAGTCACGAGCTGCATGGCGCGACGTAGAAATAGCAGTAAGTACCGAATCCAGGTGACGTGCTCGTGACAGAAACTCTACAAACCTCTAAACCCTGATGGTAGTACTTTAGCGCCATACCTATTACCAGTATAGCAACCATGGATGAGCCTCCCGGCTGGGGCCCGCAAGCAAGGAGCCACGGGGCTTGGGATGCGGCGTGAAGGGGTTCAGGGTCTAGGATTTAGGACTTTGGCTGTCAGGTTTGGGGCTTTGGGGTTTAGAGTTAAAGATTCCGGGCTGTGGGTTTTAGGGTTTGGGATTTGGAATTTAGACCTTGAGGCTTTGGCCCTTGGCATTTGCTTTAGTTCTTGGGGGTCGAGGCTGAGTGCAGTTTCCGATATTAGGTGTGGTTTAGGGTTTGGGGTTTAGGGTTTTGGGTTGAGGGTTGTAGGGTTTAGGGTTTAGGGCTTTGGATGGTTCTTCCCGTTCGCTTGTTTTGGGTTTTTTCGGTTTAGGGCCTAGGCCGCCAGCACTGACATAGCCGTTGAGGCGACGACATCGCACTTGCAACGTGCCGTAGAGACCATAAACCCTACCTATACTATGGGGTTCTACAGTTCATGTTTTCTTGGGTTACTTTATATCATAATTGTAGGATCCTACATATAAAGATGGTTGCACCAAGAAGAGGAATTGCAATATAGAGGCTACAGGTACTGTACTATTCGCACCCCAAAATCCTAAACCCTAACCTTAAACCCCAACCACTAAACCCGAGTCCCTGTAGTTACTTCCCCAAACCCTAAACCCTAAACCTTAAACCCCAAACCCTAAATACCCGAGTCCCTGAAGTTTCTTCCCTAAACCCCAAACCCTAAACCCTACAACCTAAACCCTAAACCCTATACCCTAAACCCTAAACCCTTAGCCCTAAACCCTAAACCCTACACCCAAAACCCTACACCCTATAAACCCTAAAGGTTCTCCATTGGAGGACTCCAGATCCGACGAAGAAAGGCACCTACGTCGTGAAGAACCAGGTGCGGGAGGCGGGCAGTAGGGTTGAGGGTTTATGAGGGTTTAGGGCCTAGTGTTTAGGGTTTAGGGCCTAGGGTATAGGGTTTAGGGTTTAGGGTTTAGGGTTTAGGGTTGAGGGCCCGATCTAGGGTTTTGGGTTGAGGGCCCGGTCTAGGGTTTAGGGTTTATTGCCCGGGTAGGGTTTAGGGTTGAGGGCCCGGTTTAGGTTTAGGGTTTAGGGCCCGGTTTAGGGTTTAGGGTTTAGGGTAGCATTGCCATTAGCCCATCTTAGGGGCTGAGTAGGTAACCTTTAGCTTTTTTTGGGCTTATAGAATTTTACCATAACTTAAAGGGCTAGCCTTTGTTGGGCTAGGGTACTCAGCCCCTAAGAGACAGTTCGTCCGACACCCTCGAAGGCATCCGCACGAAAGCTCCAAAACCCTAAACCCGTCGCTTTGGGACGGAAAGCCAAGCCAACAGTCGGCACTCCCAGCTGTTTCGAGTTAGGGTACCGGGTTTACAGGCCCCCTTGATAATATCGTGTCCAGTCACTGTTAGACTGGAGTCTTGTCGGGTGCGATTGAGGGGGGGGGGGTTACAATTCTCATTGGCCTTCTTCCTGAACGCTCGCATCAGCTTACTGAGGCTTCGATTTTCGATCCCAAACCATCTGATGTCTTGCAAAGGCCTCCCGGCATTGTCTTGCAGGCCATCCCCATTCAAAGTCATGGTAAAGGAATTCAGAGGTTCAGAACGCCCAAGACTAAGACGACTTCTCGCAGCCTCAAGAGGTCACCCGGCCTCCCCGCGGAAAGTTCGATGGAGCATCCCGGTCTTATGAGGATGTGGGCTTCAGGGTTTAGGGTGTGGGATTTGGGGTTTAGGATTTGAAGGGGTTTAGGGTTTAGGATCGGGCTGAGCCAAAAAAGCCTTGAACACGATACTTAGAAGGTTGAATGATGTGTCATAGTCCCTGTATAGTCATGAGTCATAGTATATATAATAATACACCCCAAACCTCCACTCTGAATAGTTATGAAGGGGCCGAAATATTAAGCCCATGTAAACCCCGTTCCACTGTACCCTTAGCTCCAAGAGGGCTCAGTGTTGAGGCTGCACGGTTGCAGGTTCAGGACGTTTAATTCGATGTAGCGTGCAATCTATGTGAGGAGGGAAGAAGATGTACTCCCAAATTGCGACGTGCCTTCTTGCCTTCGGCTTCATAGCTTCGACATAGATGCTCTCTGGACAGCAAGCATGAAAGGAGGCCTGTGCCGCTACACCTCGGGGTGAGTTTGCCGACAACTCTTTTTGCTTCAGCCCTGCGCGCCAATGCAATAACTGTACCGCCTGATAGGCACAGGCCCACTGGCCCATCGTGTAAGCAAGGGGTGTAGTGCGAAGGAGTCCTAAGTTGTAAGCTCACGAACTCAGTCGGGTTGAGGTCTCCCCCACTTGTGAGCCGCCTGCGCCTCTGGTGCGCCGGGTGCTCAGACGAGGCTTAGGGCGACGTTAATGTAGGGGCCTTGTAATTAGAATAGGATTTTGGGGGCTCCATATTAAAATTATACTATGATATACACCAAAACCTATTGTAAGTGTTCTGGCCCCTATGTTAGGGGTTAGAGTTGTGGGTTTTCGTGGGTGTCGGGGTTGTGGCAGGACCAACCCGAGCGAACCCCGATCCCTAGCAAGGAGATTAAGAGGGTTTTTTGCTGGTGTAGGGCTTGAGGGAGTTTGCTCAGGCGTCCAGTTGAGGAAGCAGGGTTTGGCGGGGGGGGGGGGGGGGG